CCCGAACCCCGGTGCATCCATGTGGTCTGGTGTGGCCCTGAGTCTAGGCCCTGGACGTGGAATAAACTGTGTCCTGAGCCTCTCCTGTGTCTCCCTGTGGCCGCAGCTCACTGACTGGCTCATAAAGGAACACAGACTGACTCATAAAGGTGGGTGGTGACCAGAGGGACAAAGGAAGCCAGAGGGCAGGAGAAGAGGCCACAGGAGGGCGGCTGGGCTGGTGGCGCGGTGCTGGTGGCGGCAGGGGGGCAGGTGAGCAGAGCTGTGGGGGTTTCCAATCAGACGGGAAGGTGTGTGCTTATTATGTAATATGCAAAATTAATATGCTAGAGTACAAGCCCTTTGCCCCTCCCAAAATAATAAGTTGTGCTTGCTATCCTCGAGCGTGTACTTACTTTTCTCTGCAAAAGCAGCTGCCCTAAAAATCAAAGGGGGCAGAGAGGAGAGAATAAGTGAGAGGTGAGCAAACAACAACAAGCACCCACACGTGAGGGCGGAAGGGAGAGGGAACGCTCGCTTTCCTCGGGCGGCTCTAGGCCCCACACTCGGCAGCTGCCTCTGTTTTTCCTGATGGCTCCCACAGCCCGTTTTCACAGGGGGGTGCCCTGTTGTTCAGCTGCCAAAACCCTCAGAAAAGTCTCACGTTCAGACTCACAGATTGGACAGACTTCTTTTTTCACTAAATTCACCAGATTGCATTGGATGAAGGTTTTTAGGTATTTTTGAAAATGTTGGTTTCTAAGTTATCTAAGTTATCCATTCATCCATTCAACAGGTACTTAGCGGATCACCTGGTGTGGGGCAACAGCTGCTCTGTTTTGAATGCTCTACAATTCAGACATACACACACAATCCAAAGTTATTCTTTAAAAAGCTGCTCTGAACAACGCAATGTTATTCAGTGCTAAAAAGAAATGAGCTCCCAAGCCATGAAAAGACACGGAGGGAGCTGAAATGTATATAACTGAGTGAAAGAAGTCAATCTGAAAAGACTACATACTGTAGGATTCCAACTCTATGACATTCTGGAAAAGGCACAACTAAGGGGACATTAACGAGATCAATTATTTCCAGGGGTTGAGGGGAGGGGTGAACAGGGGGAGCACAGGGGACTTTGAGGGCAGTGAGACTCCTCTGTGTGACACTGTGATGGTGGGTACAGGTCATTACACATCTGTCCAAACCCACCGAGCGACACCAAGAGTGATCTGATGTGAACTGTGGACCCTGAGTGATGACGTGTCAATGCAGGTTCATTAGTTGTCACAAATGTCCCATTTGGGGGGCTGTTGATGGTAGGAAGGCTGTGGGTGTGGGGGCAGAAGTGGGGGAGGGTCAGGGGATGTGGGAAATCTCTGTACCTTCCTCTTCATTTTGCTATGAATCTAAAACTGCTCTAAAAAAATAAAGTCTTAAATACCATATGATCTCACTTATATGTGGAATCTGAAAAACTGAATGAACGAGGAAAGTAAACAGAAATAGTCTCAGAGACATAGAGGAACAACTGATGGTTGCTCATTGGAAGGGGGGTGGGGATGAGGGAGAAAGGGAAGGATTATACAGCATAAATAGGTAACTACAATATTGCCACAGGGACAGGAAAGGCAGTTCGGGGAATATAATTAATAATGTTGTAAATATTTTGTAGGGTGTCAGATGTCATGTCATGTTAGGGAGACCACTTCATGGATGGGGTAGAGGCTTGATCACTGCACTGTACACCTGAAGCTGATGTTGTATAATATTGTTTGTCGACTATAATTAAATATATATATATATATATATATATATATATATATATATTCACGGGATGTGGAGTATAGTGTGGGAGTGGAGTCATGGGAATTGTAATAGATAAGTATGATGTTGGGGGGAAATGGGGCGGTGGATTGGGGGAGGGGGGTTGTCACCTCGAGGGGTAAAAGGTATAACTATTGCGCTGTGTTGTACAACTGAATCTAATTCTAAAAATGTGTATTTCATAATAAAAAATAATTAAAAGAAAAAAAATAATAAAGTCTTAAAAAAAGAACCTAACTATATAACTTTTTTTTTAATTGCTCTTTATGATGTGTTGCCACAGTTATAACTATTTCAGAAATTCACCCTTATAATCATTTCAAGCAACCCAGGGTTATTATGACTCTAGGAAGTTAATTTATAAACACATTTATAGTCTAGAAGTCTGCCTGCCCTTGTACATGTGGAATTGCATCAACTGCCGTTTTTATCCCAGTTCCTGGGAACGTCACAAGCCCTGGGTCACCAGGCCTCCACAGCTGTTCCCACCCTCAGCCCAAAGAAGTCCAAGTCACCGCACCCTAGGTGACAGAATAACAAACCCAGCATGCAAAGCTTACTTGAGCCGCTGGAACTCTGCAAACGCTTCATCAAAAGCTGTAAGGAAAGTTTTCGTACGTTAGTAATGGCTTTGGCATGTTTCCTTTTATTCATTCACTCAGACGCTCTGTTGGTGCATCTGCTTAATGAAATCTGACAAGTAGCTAAAGAAGAAATTGAGTTTTCAGAAATAATTTCCTCGGAATGAAAATCATACAGTCAGAATGCTTCCCTCCCGGCACGCTGCGTGGATCAGGAAATACAGAACTCGCAGACACTGGTCTCACCTTCGCCAGACAGGTCCAGGGAGCGCTGGTGGTTGTCCTTGCCGTCAGAGAGCTCAAAAGTGTACTTCCCTTTGTCCTTCTCCGTGGGCTCGCAGATCTGCAGCCAGGCCATTTCTTCGCTGCCGCCAATGCGCATGTGCTCACTGGAGGCAATCTTCGCGTCCCTTTTTAAAAAGGTAGGAGGAACACACTTCAACTTAGAATCTCCCACTATGTGCAGGAAGCCCACGGGGCGCTCCACCGTCTGGGCGGGGCCTCCCCTAACTTGCTGGTGCTTTGGCCACAACACATTTTTCTGGAAGTAATCGTTCACTACATCCGTAGCTCAGATCTGAAAACCTTCTACAATTCAATCTGATACTTAGTTTTTAAAGATACTTGGCTATTTAATACATGCATGTTGGCCACACCATAATGGACTAAAATACTCCATGCAGCATGGCATTTTTTTTCCCCTCAAAACAAGGTTTTTTAATTACATATGATCCAACCATTGCCATTCTAGGAGTGAACCCAAAAGAACTGAAACATGTGAGCAGGGACTCACATGGACATCTGTGTCCCCACATTCACAGCAGCGTGACTCACAATAGACAAAAGGTGGGAGCAGCCCGAGTGTCCGTGGATGGATGGGTAAGCGAAACGCAGTGCACGCACAAGGGGACATCACTCAGCCTTAAAAAGGGAGGGAATTCTGACGCCTGCTACCACGTGGCTGGACCTTGAGGGCGTCATGCTGAGTGACACAAGCCAGTCACAGGACAGACGCTGCGGGTTCCACTCGCAGGAGGCCCCTAGGAGTCGCACTCACTGAGACAGGAAGTAGGTGTGTGTGGGGGGGAATGGGGAGGGGGACGGAGCGTTTCACGGGGACAGAGGCGCAGCTTTGCCAGGTGGAAAAGTTCGGGACAGGACGGTGGTGATGGTGGCACAAGGATGAGAATGCTCTTAACGCCACTGACCTGTGCGCTTAAAAATGGTTAAAACTGTAAAATGTTATGTTGTCCATATTTTACCACAACTTATAAAATTGGAGATAAAGCACTCGATGCCACACCTGCCTTCTAAGGGGCACGTGAGGCCACCCGTCCACAGCACGCACGTGTACGTCAGCTAACTCCGAAAGCGCGTGGACTCAGAGGGAGCGGTGAAGTCCGTAGATGTGACAGCCTCAGGCATGGGAAGGACACACAGGGCCAGAGCGAATCTCGAGGGTGTGGACCCACGTCACTCGTGCCCCTGCTCCCAGGAAGAGGCGCCTCCGTGAAGCCCGTGGCAGGGTTTCCAGGGAACGGGCCACCGCAGGGCTCTGGCCAGTGACCATGCGTTCCTTGGGCTCCCCTGGGAAAGGAGATTCCCCAGCCTCGGCTGTCATGGCCCTTCAGTCAGGGACCCTTCACTCAGCACAGTGTCAGCACGCCGTGGTCAGCACGCAGCGCCGCCAGCCACCAGCCTGTTCGGGGCCACACTGCCCTCGCGCTGGCCCAGCAGCCTTGGAACCCCAGAGCGTGAGGGCGACCCAATCCCCAACATACAGCAGCTGCTGTGCCGTGAAGAGTGACACCCCCAGAGAGGGTGAGGAAGAAAGGCAAGAATGAAGGGAAGTCAGATGACGTCCGGTGGCGTCCGGTGACGACAGGACGAGAGCAGCACACAGAACACACTCTCCATCTGCACAGCTGTTTCTCACACATGTGAGTCAGTGACCCCGAAACTCCTGGGTGTGACGCTAGGGCTGAGGGGGACAGGGACAGGGGACAAGGTCTCTGTGCGGGAGGAAGTCACCACGAGCAAAGGCATGAGGAAACCCTGTGTCACCGACTGAAATGGAGGACATCAGCCTGAATTCAGGCTGTGACACACTTAGCACAGGCGGTGAAACCTGATGCGTGTACGTAAGTGCACACACGGGTGGAGGTGTGCAACCGCCGTCCCTAGCCATCTGCTCAGAGGTCATAAGAGCGCCGACAGTCACCGCGATGGCACACGGGAGGCACGAGTCTGCTGTCTGATGCCACCCCCGGGACCAGGGACAAGCCCTGATTCCAGCTAGTGCAAGAAGTGCAAGATGCATCAGGAATATCCCACAGGCCCGAGAAGCATGAAACCACTCACAAAAGATGGGGACATGTTGACACAGATAGGGGACAACCTGGAGGAGCTCCCAAGAACCAGAGTTGGAACAATTTGAGCAAAACAGTAATAACAACAACAATGAGAATAGTGGATCACAGCCCACAGAGTAAGAGAAACGCCCAAGTCCGTACTGATGTAACGAACTAGTTGTACAAATAAATACCTAGGGGAGGAAGAGTAGCATTCCCTTACGGGAAGAATGCACAAGAAAGGGGGACTTCCAACACACGTGGGGCTGAGGGAACTGCAAGACCGCACGGGGCCCTGGTAGCATGGCTCACCGTCGATGCTCAAACTCATGCGCTCAAGTTTCAGGAGGACCAAGAGATTGGCGAGGTCCCGAGGTGTTTCCCCCAGGACACCGCTGATTACAAAGGGAGAAGGCTGTGCCAAGTGTGCTCGGGAGGAGCCTGGCAAACCAGCCTGACCAGCAAGCTGTGCCAACATCGCTGGTGTCTAGTCTGACAAAACAGGAATAGCTTCCATCTGGTCTCCAAAGGTGGGCTCTATTTCGTACCATGCTCTGTTTTCCCGGTGGCTATCTAGGAAGAACTTATTTTAATAGTCAAATAGTGTAATATAACCAAACGTTCTATTTTTTAGGGATAGCATAGAACTACAGGATGCATTTTAATATAGTTTAAAATACGGTTTAATACTGCTTAGTGGTCAACTCGTATTTTAGTTACAGAAGTGCTGAAGAAAGCCTCATTTTATTGTGTGACAAATTCTGGGTGCAGAGGAGAAAATGCGGAAACCACGGCACCTCCACGAGGCTGTGGACTCACAAAGCGGCCACCTTCTCAGGTGGTCTCTAGCAACCTGTCCATCTGCCACAGCTGCACTGATGCTTGGACCCGTGCCCTTACCTCTCTGTCTGCCTGTCTGTCTGTAATCGACTCCCCAACCCCCACCCCCAGCAGGCCAGACGCCCCTCGGTCCAGTGGTGTCAGAATCAGGCTAACTGGTGTTTGAACCCTGCTCTTTAATTTAAAGGTTGGGTGACAACAAAATGACTTACATTCCTTTTGCTAAACCTCAGTTTGCACATCTAGAAACATGGGGCTCAATACCAGACTCCCAGGGCTTCTGTGGGGCTAGATGAATTCATGAGTTCAGAGTGTGACACACAGTAGCTGCTGTCACGTCTAACGCCAACGCCGCTGATGTGACCCGCCCAGCAGCAGCTCGGGGCACCCGCTCACTGGGAGACCAGCTGTGGGACCACGAGGCTCTCCCGGCGTGGGCACGTTCACGAGGGACTATCGTGCACACATCACAACCGCCCACAACTCACCGCCATAAATAACAGACGTGTGGACAAGGAAGTGAGTGATTCTCCTTTTCCAGGGGAAGGTTCATTCAACTAGAGATTTACTCACTTGCCTAAAACACAGATCCTCATAAATGCTTACATCACAAAGGAGTTTCAGCCTGAACCTCCTGGTGCCGGAACACTTCATGAGCAGACCCTGCCTCTCGTCCATGCGTGGACAAAGCCCTCCGTGTGGGGTCAGGGATGGCCTGATCGGCACCCAGGCCCTGCACACGCAGAGCGGGAAGATCCCAGACATGGCACCCCAAGGCTCAGCCCCCCTGCCTAGCTCACGTCTGCTCCCAAGCACAGCGTTGAGGGGGGAACACAGACATCAGAATTTCAGTAGGGAGAAGATCCAGCAACATGCTCCCTCTTAGCTCACATAGATCCACCTACACAAAATAATGCTCCAAAAATAATCACAGCCAAAGAGTTTGATTTTGAAAGGTTGATGAGAGAAATGGGACCTCTAAAGATATGTGGGCGCCTGGGGTAGCGTTTAGGGAGGAACTTCAGAGGTTGGCAGACTGACCCCATTGAAAAGTGACCAAAAATGCTGCCAATGTCCTCAGGTTAGAGTAGAGATGGGCCGGAAGGAGGTCCCTGCTCCGTCTGCCCCCATCTCAAGCTGTCTCCTCTGCGGTCACCCCTGAGGACAGGGTGACCCTGACCTTAGCCCTCTTTTCTCAGAGACGTGCTGCTTGGAGGGGTGTTTAGAGATGAGCTTGGGAGACGGGTAGGAAAGAACCAGACCCCACGGGGCTGGGCGACAGGACACGGCACGCGTTGTGATGGTTACGGAGGTCTCGGGTGTGTACAGTGTGAACGGCCGCCTGGAGCAGCGCCCGGGCAGCGGGCAGGACACTCGGGAAACGGGCCATGTGCAGGGCTCGGCCTGGCCGCCTTCCTTCTTCTGCGCTCAGTACGGAGCTGGTTTTTCTTCCCACTCTTTCTAATCAGTCTGCTGGGAACGCGGCAGACCGGGGATCTGCGGTGTGGTCCTCGCTACTCTTCTCCCGTTAGCTCCATGCTATCCCCCATACCCTGTGGCACCAGGACAACCACCTCGGCCGAAACTGAGACGCTGAAAAGTTCGCCCCTGGCACCTCCCGGCATTTCTCCCTGCCCTCCCATCGCCACAATGGCCCCCAGCCCCTAGCCAAGGATTGTCATGTTTTTTTCAAAACTACAAAGTACAGTAAGGACGGCTCTCATACTTACTTGTGATACCAGTTCACTCTCATTTCTTCGGTAAAATATTTCATGAAACACTGAAGTCTGATTCCGTCTGGGGTGCAGAGAATCTTTAGTGGAGAGGCCGACGCCCCTGCAGAAGATAAGACAGAGTAAGAAACGCGGCCGTGCCGGGTCAGCACGGAAGGTGCTGTGGCCAGGTGCCTCTGCTGTCCCAGCCATGAACGTGCTCGCACGGTCATACAACCTGCAAGGGAGAATTTATTTGCAAAGCTAAAAAGTGGTTTCATACATGTGACATGAAGGCAGAGGTTTAAATTCAGTCCTGTGATTCATCATTTATCAGAAAGGCGCTGATAGCAGTCACATACAATGCAATCGTCCAAATTCACCCACAGCAAGTGGAACAGTGGCTAGCCGGGAAGTCCGAACTGGACTGTTGTTCTTTAAAGTAAAACATACTCTACATGTGATGCTGAAAATCCCCTCAGAAGCCCTCCCCAAAGCCCTCAGACAGCACCCTGCCTTTTAAGCCAGGCCATTGCAGGATGTGCCCGCAGCTCCCCGCGGTGGCAGGCGCCCTTCCCAGGTAACAGTGATGCGAGCACCTGAAGAGACTGAAATTAGAGGGCATTTACTTACCGCAGACTCGGCTCATCGCCAGAATTATATCCTCATACACTAAAAGAGAGAGGGGAAAGGCACCGTTACTAGACATAATTGTATCAGAAAGCAGCTTTTCATGTTTAATTAAATTGATGCAGGAAATCGTGATGTTAGTTTGAAAAATGAAACATTAAACTGGCAATATTTATCTATAACAGGCTTAGGTGTGTAATAAATCCTTCTAACCCATATCCACTTTTTAAACAAGAAACAGGAACATTTCACTCAACATAAACCCAACTATACATTTAACTGCATTGCTTCATCACAGCTTCAATCATTTTAACTACTGGGTTGTCGGAAAAGTCATGATGCATTTTTGCAGTGAAAAACAGAAAAAATATATCATGACTTTTCCGACAACCCAATACGTTAGGCAGAGGATAAAACTTGGCTTATGAGGATGGACTAAAATAACATTGCATAGAAACCCAAAATAGTACCATACATTTTCTTAAAACACTGAAACAGCTTTGCATGTAACTAAAGTACAAGTCTGTTTTCTTCTGTGTTTCTGCTAAAGAAACAACGTGCACTGCAGCCAACGACACAGATGAAGGCGTCTGCGTAACACTCATCCTGCTGGCGAAATGCACTGCTTTTGAGCAGCACCAAGGTCTGATTTTACCTTTGTCGGCGATCACCAGGATGGACACATCTTGACCTCTCTCGTCTTTCAAGGTCGCCTTGTATTCACCATGATCCTTCTTGGACAACTGCAAATAAAGCACATCCCACATGTAGGTGACATCAATGCCATGGTATAAAATGCAACACATGTTCACACCTTTTCTTTGCAAACCGTGGACATGAGGGGTGCAAACCGGGAGATAACGCGGGATTTCGGAGTCGTGTGAAAGAGCTGTGCAGTTTCGCTCCTGTCTCAGATTACCTAACACGGTCTAATGTACCTTCGGTATGAGCAGCTCACAGATGCCCTTCTCCAGGTCGGGCACATCTTCAGTCTCGTACAGAGCATCATCCTTCAGCCATCTGAACACTGTCTCTTTCTTGGTGTTTGCGACCTACAAGACGGAAGTCTTACGTTTAGTGTGGGAACCACTCTGGCTCATGAGAAAAGAGTCTGTTCTGACTTCATATCATAGACCTTAAAAAGAATCAATTGTGATTTCAGACAGGCTCAGACAGAAGCTCATGGAAAAGCCAACGGCCCTGACGACGGCAAACACGTCACTGTGTCCCAGCTTCTAAAACAGTGAGGCCCTCACAGCTGTACCAGGAAGAACAAGCAAGTCCTCACGCTGCAGCCCAGGCAACGAGACGGAGCTTGTGGCTTACAGGGAACGTCAGTAATAAAGACAAGTTGTAAGTGATGGATTTTGAATTCATAAACAATATAAAAGATTCTGAGGTCTATAAAACTGCAGGGGCTGCTTCCTTGTTCTATGACGTTTCGGATACATCACATAGAAGGAGAGGAGCCTTAACGTAGGATCTGCCCAGTGGGGTGAGGACTTCCCTCGCAATTCTTCTGGGACATTAGCTTCAACTCGAAACTACATTTCACAAAATTCCACAGACCAGTAGCCTCTGAGGCCCCACGCTCTGCCCTATGCATCCTGCGGAAGAGAGAACGTCCCGGCTCCCTGGGAACGGGGGGCACCAACCCCATTGGATTCTACGGAGATGACGAGTCTGCACTCACCTCCCACAGGCACTCGGCAAAGTGACGACGGAAACAGATCAACAGAGGGATTAGTTCTGATGGGGCAACACATTGTAGGGTTTCCACGTGGCTCTGTCAGTGACGCGGGAGCATGGAGTCCCCAGTCAGCAGGGACTCTGCATGTCTCACTCACACGTGAACCCAGGGTGTAGCCCTGTGCCCGGCACAGGATGCTAAGTCCATAAATTAGGGATACTGAAGGGAGCATCTCCTGTGAGACTAGGGAGTCGGACCTTCCTTCTGAAGTCAGAACCATGAGTTGTAACAAGTGGTAGGATGGACCGTGGCCCAAGATTCCCGCAGACAAGCCCATTAGCCTAACCCTTAGAAAGCTCCTTAGGTGCCCGTTTTCATGCCACCCCCACCGCTGACTGTCCCTGACCATGAGTCAGTGCTGCCCGTCCCTGTGCACTAAACAAAAACCTCTCCAATGGCCTTCAGTCTCTGTTCTCTAAAACCAGAATCCTCGATGAGATTATTTCTCCTGTAACTGGGGGGTCTTACGCCCCTAAATCACCAGTGGTTTCTCCTGTGGACTGTGCAGTTTCTCCCAACCACGCTTCATATGAGGGCACCCGGCCAGACCATCCATGTCCTGAGAAGGCAGTAACGAGACAGCTGCTTCAACACCAGGGCCACGCCCGACCCACCCTTCCCAGCCAGTGCCGCCAAGTCTCCACGCGTGCTGACGAGGCGTTTCTGTCAGACTCTCTTGTGTCTGGCTGAAGTTTCCGTCTTCCACTTTGCTTTTGAAAATGCTCTTCTGTGAAGCCATCACGAGAGTATATCCTCGCATAAATCCTCCATGTGCTTTATGTAAGTAAATGAAAAAAATAACCATCTGCCAAAGCACTACTAAGTGAAAACTACATAGAAAGAGGGTTTGCAGAATTACAGGTGGGCAAGGGACCCAAGCATGCAAATTAAGTGCATTAAACTGGAAAATACTCAAATCTCAAGTAATATTCAGTTTCTTCAATATCTGTGTGCAAAGATGCCCGGCTCACTTTGGTAAGGGAGCTCTAAGTACTATCAGGTATTCCCAGGATGGCACACCCCCTACGGTGACATGAGAGCACACGGAAGCAAAGTCCCCCTGTTTCCCCAGCGCCGTGGTAAGCGCGCGCACGCCCACTGCGCGCCCCGGCCTAGAAACAAGAGCCGCCACAGGGCCACCCTGTCGGGTCTGCTCTCTGAGTCGCTGATGACCGAAAGAACTGACTTCTGCAGTGCTGATGTCTAAAAACTTGAAGATACATACCTTTTGCTTATGACAATCATTTGAGAAAATTGCTGTTTTTCCCATATACACGAACTACATCTACAGCCTGTCCTCAGTAAAATCTTGTGGGGTTTTTCCCTTTAAATATCTGCTGTGTTTTCATTTGTTCAGCTAGACCAGCCAAAGCCTCCCTCCCTTGCAGCTTCTTTAGCAGTAAACGTCCTTTCTTCTATAAATGTTTTTGCCTCTGAGCCTTCCATAGTAACAATTAAGGCTTACTTTATTACTGAAGTTTTAAAACTAAAGAAGCATCTTATTCCTGAAACGTACCTTTTATTTCCTAAAGAAATCATATGAACAGCATGGAAATGACCAGATAAGCTTCACCAATAGCACACTTTCTCATAAATTCACTTACTAAAATTACAATAAACATTTCCGTGAACTGCCTACTTGAGTCTTCTTTTGCACGGCACTGTAATCTATTCATGAGGAGCAAAGACAAGACTGAAAGTCTAAGAACCAAACGTCGCTGCGTCCACGCACGCCTAACCCAACCCCGTGCACGTCACGGCCGTGGCCGCAGCTGCTTTCCTGAAAGGCGTCCCGAACCCTCACAAAAAGGGGCCTCTCAGGGCTTCCCGGTCAGACCCGACGCTCACCTTACAGACAAGACGAACTTCACACTCCTCTGTAACGTCCCAGTGCAGGTACTCAGCAAAATGAGGACCTGGGGTTAAAAAGTAAGACGGGGATGTAGTGTGTGTATTACACACATGTATTTTACACACACACATGTGCACATATGTGTATTAGTATTTTATATTTATACTCATATTACTTATAATTATACTGCATTTTTTGCAAAAGAAAACAGCTGTTCAGTGTGAACCCGAGATTAACTGGCTCTCAGGGCTCTGAGTTAACATGTGTGCAGGTGACTCTGCTGAAACCTGTGTACCCGAGTGGGGTCGTGCTGTCTGACCTCGCTTTCTTGCCAACATCCAGTATCTACTGCTCTTTAGAAAGAATAAGGAAATCATATTTTTTTCTCTAAGTGAACCTCCAATGGCATAGCATATAACAAACTTTTAAAACAGGAGAATTCATAGAGATAAGATGAAAAAAATGAAGCTTGGCCTAGCAATTTTGCAAATGTGTAATATTTTGAAATCAAATATGGACTTATATGTTTTTCAAAAATATCATTTTTATTCAAAACAAATGCAGCAGTAAATCATATACTAATAACATCATTAGCCCATTGAACACAAAAATGCAAAACAGATTTAGAAAATATTTATTGATTTCTTTCATGTCAATATGTTCTACAAAGTTAAAAAATTCATAATGTAGAAATGAGTAAAAAAAATTTTGACTTAAAAATAAAAATAACTAAAAACAATAAAAATAAAAAAGAATGTCTTGATTTTTTATTTTATAATCCATATTCTAATTTTTTTTGAAAGGCACAGAAATCTCATATAAAACAATGTATTTAAATAAACCCTTGGGTTATCTTTCAGGCTCTAAAAATGTATTCATTTTTCTTTGTATCTAGTTAGTATGTATTTTTAAAAACAATATATTTAAAATGTATTGTTTGCAGTTATACAGTTAAAACATTTAAAAGTTTAAAAGTTATCTCAGTTTTAAGTAAAATAACAAGCTCCTGGCAGCTGGACTAGTTTCTTCTGACTGCTCTACATTTCCAAGCCCAAGAATTCACCCCAACGCACCCACCTATGTTCGTTTTTTGGGGGGTTTTTTTTTTGTCAAAATGCTAGACCTGTAAGATGGAGGCAGCCTTTCCTTTTATAACCACTGTTATAAAGTCAGTTTCTTTTGGTCCATCTGCTGAGTACTGAGCTGCGCCCTGTAAGAAGTGTTAGGGACCTACAAAAATTATGGGGGTTCAAGTTCATAAGCCCCGACACGGATGGCTCAGGGAAGGGTTGCCATGGAAACCAAGGGGTGCGTGTCATCGGGACACTACGGGAGGCACAAGCCCACGCTGAGCTCTGAGCGATGCCTGGGTTTGAACAGCTTCCTGGGACAAGACGGACAGAACGTGCCCACCCGAGGAAGACGTTAACAAGCCATCGGCTCGTCCAGAACGCTGTGCTGTGCGTGGAGGGGAATGAAATGCGGGTCTGCAGGAGGCGAGCCTCATGTCTGGGAGGCATGGAGTCATTAGGTGCTTTAGGCGAAGGACTGCCTACAAGAAATGCTCAGGAAAACTCATCGCCCCGCCGTGTGTGAAACAGACTAGGTAGTTACTTAGCAAGTCAGCCAGGCGGCCTGGTTAACCTGGCCACTTCCCTAACCCGGAGACGGACAGAAAATACGGACGCTAAACAACAGATCCTGGGGCTTTCAAAGGTAGAAGCAAGAAAAACACACACATGAAATAAAGGAAAGGGGCGAAGAACAGAAAAGTACCCAAATTTCTAGAGCTAAGAAACGGTCTAACTTCCAGATCATCAGAACAGCGTTTAGTCATCGGGCAGCGAGTGTGTGGGGTCTGCTTTAAACGGATCCTCAGATCCTGACTCTTTGCTTTATGCTGTGGTGCTTGAGCAGCTCAGCCACCTACCTTGTTTCCTGAGAAATTCTTTCCTTTGAAACTCAGCCTCTTCTAGGACAGCCTTGAACGCTAAATTCAATATTTAAGGGGGAAAAAGACATGAAATATGTTTGCTTCACTCTAGTTAAAAAAATTTGCTCTGAATTTTCATCTACGGACATAAGAAAAGATTCAGTACTGCTTACCATCTCCAATAAGAACCAGAGAAGATTGGTTTTTGGCTTTTCCGTCATGAATCTGCACTGTGTAGGTACCTTCATTCTCAATAGTAAATTGATCCATCACCATCTCAATGATGCCAGTTGACTTGTCACATTTAATTTTGTGTGTCTGGAGCAATACAGGAAACAGAATTCCACAGTGAAGTTCCTCCTCCCAGGGACCCTCCGACATTGAATACTTACACGGACTGCTCTATCTGGAGGTTAGGACACATGGCAAACACACGCTGAACTTTAATCCACCACACCTCTTGGTGAACCAAACATCAAGTAAGGGACACACGTTCTTTCGGTCCTGTGTGTGGGGAGACCCAGCACGAGGCCCCGGCAGAATGGCTGCTTCCCGGACACATCTAATGTGACAGCTACTATGTGGGGGACAAAGACAACACGGTGGCCTTCACAACCACGCTGCCCTCAGCTTCCAGGGACGCTGGGACCACAGGCTTCCAGGCAGCTGCCTTTGACCAGGGTGCAGAAGCCCACAGAGGGGATTGGGACATTGTGGACGTGCCCGGACGACAGCCATGCAATGCCAGCACCCTCCGTCACCCCTCAGCCCAGTACGTGTCCCCACAGCAGGGTCTGTCCCCACGCTCGCCCGGTGGCTTTTCTGAACACCAGCCCCACTCACTCATAATCAGCTCAAGGAGGGCCTTCCTGGAATTGTCCTTGGCTGGGTGCACGTCCGTGTCCCACCCCCCACCCCATCCCCCTCACTGGGCCTTGGGTCCAGCCATCTCCATGCCTTCTGTCTGTCTGCCTGTCTGTCCTGCTAGAAGGTGAGTCCTTGAGAGGCAGGGCTGTCGCTGGTCTCCACAGCCCCACCCGGCAGCTGGCACAGTGCCTGGCAGGCAGTGACACCACATGAGCGTGGGGTCTTCACAAGGACATCGGCCTGGGGCACAGCAGCTCAGGGGGCTGCCCTGGCACCAACGTGGCAGGTCTCCTGACGCTGCTGAGCGATGCTGAGCAAAGTTTTCTTCAAGGACACGCTTATTCCTTGTCGTCCCACGGCTGTTCTCCCGGAGCAAACTGCTGGTCGTCACTCATTCAACCTGCAGCTCCCAGCAGCTCCGACTATGTTCACGGCTGCCAGGGCCACAAAGGACGCCCGCAGGACACAGACAACGGGAGACGCGGATGCCTGAGTCCCTACAGCTCAGCAGAAAGCAGTCCCACGAGGGGAACCTTACAGGTGAGGGCAGTGGGTGGTCCAGAGAGCGCGCCCTTCCCCCGATGGACCCCGGGAAGCCTCAGTGAAGCCGCCGCGTCCTGCTGTGTCCCTCAGCCCCAAACTGTGACCACGCCCTTCCTCACGCCCCTCCAGCAACAGCACAGGTGGTCACGAGGGCCCTGCCGTCCCCTGTGTGGGCAGCAGCTGACCGGGGACGCTCTCCCAGCACTGCCTGCACGTTCACAGGCCACCATCTGTGATGACTCTGGACCACGTTGCCCTGCCCTCAGGTAACGTGACAGGGTCTCAGGTGGGACAGAAACAGGCTCTGCCACCCCAAATGTGCCACTTTGGCATCTACTTATTTTGAACTAAAGTCACCTAAGGAACAGCCAGTGCAGGGAGGGCACTCTGGCCTCCTTTGTCCCCCTAAAAGCCGGAGGGGACAAGACTTCGTGACCCCACTGGCTCCAGCATCCCACACCCAGAACTAACAAGACGACAGAGGATGCCAGTGTTTGCTGGTGACATTTCTGCTGGTGGCCACTCTTCCTTTCCAGTTGAGCCCAGCAGGGATTTCAGCAACAACGGCCCAACCTGAATGGCGGTCTCACCCTTGGACGTGGGAGGTCCTTGGAACAAGATGAAAAGCAGGAATCTGCCAGCGGCAAGTAAAGCAGGGATGATGCCACAGGACGTGCCCCCCTCCCCCCACGGCCCTCATTGCTTCCAAAACAAGAGAGTCACAAAGCTTTTCTCCCTGCAGGTGACTAACAGCAGATCTGTAAGTTTAGGCAGAAAAGCAGTCTTCATTTTCTGACACACCTCGTGTGTTTCCTGTCACAATGCTCGCCTTTTCCTCTAAGGTTACGGTCACGTTTTGATATTGCAAACGCCAGCGTCACAAATGAGCATTTCAAAGACGAGTATTAGCAAAAGGCCAGCTGTGTCCACTTCATCTCACAGTTCACGTCCCTCGGCCTCCGGGCACCGTTTGAGTCCTTCTGTCTGACACTGGCAGCTGGGTCTTCTCACGTCTTTCCCTCTGTCCCCGCACGTCCCAGGCCACATGCCTCCGTCTGCTCCCTCGGTTCCTGCGGTTACTGCACGCCGGCACTGGGCACGGGTGGGGGCGCGCTGACGCCTGCCCGCCCCTGGTCCCGCAGGCCCCACTCCAGGAGCCACCACCCTGGGACCCTCCGACTCCGGCAGCCTCTCCTCGGAAGCCAGGCAGCACTCACGGGCCTGTTTCACACACTCTCAGTCGTGTCGCTTCTGTCATTCTCTACTTGAAGCTCATCTCACGACAGCCTCCAGGAGGGCGCGTGCATGTCTCACTGACCCGTCCCTGCTGTTTGGTTAGCTGTGGCGCAGACTCAGAAAGATTCACCACCACCCACTGGGAAAAAGGAAGGGAGCCATGTTCCTGCTGGGTAACTGGATGCTTCGGGGCCGTTTAATCAAACGTGACTTTTGGGTTTTAAATGAATACAGCCCAGGCCTTGGCTTCCGGCAAACAAAAAAATCACCGTCACAGCTAGAAATTATTTCAAACATGTAAAGCACACATATGTGCTTACATAAGATCACCTAGATTTTTTTCTCAACGGGAAGCCAGGGCAGGAAATTGGAGTATAAAATGGTAGAGACGGGAATAGATGAGACAGCGTGACCGCAGGCTGCTTCTCGAGAGAGTGCGCTTTCAGAAACACTCACTGCAGGACGCGGTGACACGCTGTCGCCTCCCTGGAGACGCCAGCACTTCTTGGGGTACAGTGAGCAGAAAAGGACGTGACGGCTGCCATGGGCGCAGCTTGCCGGGGTCCTTGAGTTTCCTTAGAGCGTGGAGTGTTTACTTCTGACTACAAACAGCAAATTCCAAGCTGATCAGCCAAATGCACTGTCTCATTTGGTATGTCTTTCTGCTCACGTCAGACCTGTTTGCAGAGAACTGGAGGAACCTACTCCAGTTGGGCCTGAGACGGAGGAAGGTACCACACTCGAGAACCGGAGTCTTCCCAACCCAGCAGCCTCTGCACCGTCTCAGTTGCCGCACTGCAGCCTCGGGGCAGGTTCTAGAAACTCAAGAGCTTCTTGCTCGTGCTATGATGCAGCCAGAGGAAGCTTAGTGACTATGTGGGGGCCATAAGTACAGGCTTTTGTGTGACTTTTACAGAATAGCATCCATTTTCACATGGGAAAGTCCCCAGTGGATGGCTAATTAAAGAAGTGAAATGGAACAGTCACCTTCCGAGAGGTGGGCCAGGTAGCAACGAGACGCTCTCCACAGCAGGTAGAAAATGCTCATCAAAAGATGTGCAAATAAAGTGCAATCACACGCGGTTCCATTTCATTTCCCAGCATGCTCTCTGCTTGAGAAAATTCCCGCACTGGCCTGGATCGTGCAGCGCCTCCCAGAGATAAAACCCACCCTGTTGGCCTCTCTGCAGCCAGGAGGAAACGGCATGCCTTCTGCTCATTAGCCGAGCTCCCAATTTGCACAATTCCCAAAGTGTGGCATTAGTCTCATGGGAAGGACTGCCTGGATACAAAAAACCACATGAGCTCTGTCCTTGCAAGATGACTGCCTGACAGACGTTCGTCCAGCCAGCTAAGCTTTTCCAAATGCCCACCAGACACTGAGTCGGGGCCAGAGATGAGGAGACCAGCTCAGAGAAAGGGTCAGTGCTGCCCTTGTGGCCTGAGTGGTTCCGACACCACAAGCATTCTACTAATATTCGTGCAGTGGACAAATGAACGAGGAATTCAGGACTTAGTGGGACAGTGACATATACCAATGACATCACACACCGGGCATCATAAAAGATACCAGAGGAAGTAAAGACAGTGGGATGAGGACCCCAAGCTCAGCACAGAGCAATAAGGGTCCATCAGATGCCTGTCCGCTTCCTGGGCCCTCAGGTGTGCTGGCGTTGTCAGAGGAGAGGAGGACATCGAAACCCAGCCAACGTCCCAAAGCCAGAGCAGGAATACCTGTGACAACTGTAAAACTCATGCTACACAGTTAGAAGGAGAACCCGAGCAAAGGGTTCGTATCCTAGCAAGTTATGCATTTGGGGCAGTTCTGCTGCTCTCTGCCCAGTGGTGCCGGGAGCAGCTGGGGAGGTTAGGGAAGGAGAAACCGACTTCCCAGCTGACACCTTCTGTGGAAGCTCTCGGTGGGGGCACTGCTCACAAGGGAACAAAAATACACGCTGTCACAGCCACGACAAAGGACAAACAACCTGGTCCATCAGGGATCTCCTCCCCCTGCCCAACATAACCTGAATCTTTTCGTAAAACCAAGCTCAACATCTCTAAAACATAGTTTGCCGTTTTTTAATTCTAACAGGCTTGGATTTAAAAGCCCCCTAACCACTTAATCTAACCCAGATCAAATCTCTGAATGTTGCAAGAATCAACCACCTCCAGTCACTTTGTCAGCCTCCTGTACCCAAGGTCTATGGCTCAAAAGGGGTCGAAACACACACAGAACGGTGACCAGGTAGGTGACCAGGTACCTGGCAGGGGGCTGTGGAGGGCGTTGCAGAGCCAGGACTCCGCCGGCAAGACTCACCTCACTGTCTGACACTTCTCGGTCATTAATGACAAATCGGTAGCTGGCGTCGGGTGATAACTGCTCAGCCTGCAGCCAGAAGCGAACCTGGCCCTTATCGAAAACCTCATAAGCTAATTCTGATTTCAGAGGAATCGCTACAGAAAGAAAACAAACCGCATGTCAATAATGTGTGAACCCTTATGAGAGCGAATGGCTGCACAGTGTAGGAAAACATTAATCCCCGTTATTAGATTTTCTGAGAATGTGAAACCTCGGAGTATTGAATTGGATTGTGAAAACCAAAGATAAAAAATAAAGCTCAAGCTAGCCTGTGGTCGTGTCCAGAGCCTGCACCATGGGGGGGCTGCGTGTGCATGTGCGAGCTTTCTCGACAAGCCCAAGGGCTGTACTTGGAAATGCAGCTCCTGTTTTATAGACATCACCCTCGGGTTAGGGACGGCCGCCCTACCCACAAATTCAAAACGCGCTCCATGCGATGGAAGTGTCTACAAGTGACAGTCTACGCCAGTCTCTGTTTTAAGTGAAGAGGTGACGAGGCTGTAAGCTGGTGCATGAAATGAGGCTGCCCTTCCCCAAGGGTCCCGCCTGCGCGCCCCGCATAGGTGAGCGCACCCTGCCCCACAGGCAATCACCATTTCAGGGTTCCAGGCTTACTTACTGGGGTTTCTGATTTCATTGCTCAGTGCCATCAAGCGTTCACGCTCTGAAATTAAGAAAAACATGTTCACTGATTTGGAGCCTGCACACCCACCCAGCAGTCTGCACACAACTGCAAGTCTAACAATAGCAGCGGTTGACCGCACCAAGATCTAACTGAGGGGGTGAAAGAAATCTGAACTAGAAGTGAAAGGACATGGGGTGACTTTCACCTTTGAATAGTCTCTTCAATAAGCAAGTAAGTTACTTGCAACTAAGATCCCCACATGTAAATAACCCACTTACTAAAAGGCCAGGTTAGAGGCCGGCAGAGTGGCTCAGTTGGTTAAGAGCTTGCTCAAGAGCGCAAGCTCTGAGCAACAGCATTGCCGGTTCGATTCCCACATGGGCCAGTGAGCCGCACCCGAGCTGAGCTGCTGCTGAGCTGCCAACAGGTGGCAGGATGGCTCAGTTGTTGAGAGCATGTGCTTCTAACAACAAGGTCGCCTGTTCGAGATGGTGGGTTACGCCCACAACTAAAGACTGAACTCAGCACCCTGAGCTGAGATGCCGCCTGGGTGGCTCAATGGACAGAGTGTGCGCTCTTAACAACAAGGCTGCTGGTTCGACTCCCACATGGGATGGTGGCTACGCCCACCCGCAAATAAGATTGAACACAGCACCTTGAGCTGAGCTGCACAACTGGACTTGGAGCTGAGCTAGCTGCACCCTCTACAACTAAGATTGAACAACTTGGCTGCTCCCCTTCCCAATTCCCCAACACTGTTTCCCTCCCTAAAATCCCAATAAAATTTTTTTTAAAAAGGCCAGGTTAGGGCGCATTAGGGCAGAAGTCTGGGGCGTGCAAGGGTGGCGCGCAGGCAGGTGTATTCCTGGAAGAGAACACGCTGCAGATCCATTTCCGGGTCCTCTCATTTCTAAAACTGATCTGGCAGAGAACGTGCTGGTGGTCCGTGACTGTCCTCCCCTTCAAGATGCCCTTCAACATATCTGTCAGCCCCCAGGCTCTCACCATGTGAACGTCTTCCCTCTCTCTCCCTCCCTCCCTCCCCCCTTCCTTCCTTCCTTCTTTCCTTCCTTCCTTCCATCTTAAACTTGGAATTTAGAAATGAGATCATGGCCACAAAGGGATGAACATATTTGTTTGAAATGAAAAATGAAATTGGACTTTTCCTGATCAAAAGCAAACTCCGTCTGGATGACAGGTTTGATAGTGAGGACGGACTCTCCCAATCAGGTCATATGGTAGGAATTTCCATAAATCCAATGAGCTAAATCTGCAGTTCCAAGGTGTTGCCTAAAATATATTTAAAGTCCACGTACAACAAAATATGCAGGTGTGTTCACCCTTTGCAACTATTTAAAATCCAGGTGAAAAAGTCACCCATAACCTTTAAAATGGTGCAGAGGATTTCATCGCTTTTCAGAATTCCTTAAGGATGTTTTGTGGGCAGAAAACTGAACCCCACTGAGTGAGGATCAGAAGGGGCAGCAGAGAGACCGGCAGCGGATTCAGGCCATTCCTGCCCGTGTGTGGGCAGCAGCCCACTGCAGACCCCGGAACACAGACAGCACAGACCCCTGTGCTCCCTCCTGCCACGTCTCACTAAATTTGCAAGAGCTGACCCGACTGACCCAACACCTGAGCCACGCCTGCAGGCGCCTGAAGCCATCGGAACACTGCCTCCCACTTTGGATATCGGCCTCTCCTGCCCACGCCACCTGGCACCACCAGGTGTCAGGTTTCCTCAGGACCTCACCCTTAGCCCGCCACCAAGCAAGATGCTGACTGATAGCAAGGGTTTGCCTCTCAAGCTTAAGGCATCCCAGAAAACAGTGCATTTCAGCAGAGGACTCAGAGACTCAGAAGCTTTCAAAGACCCTGAAAACGCGAGGTTTGAGGATTCTGTCCAGTGCTACACAGCTCACTCCACCTCACTGACTGTTCATTTAGAAAAAACTTCCTACAGGCTGACCCAGACCTGCAGAAGTGTAGATAAGGACTGAACAAGAAAATATACACCCAAGCAGTAAAGCACCCCGCCTCTGAGATCCGTAAACTGACCTATGAGAAATGATTGCTTTTCCCCGAGTCACAGTAAACAGACTTTCGCCACTTCTTTCTGCTATGTTCTCTTTGTAAGACAGTGAGAGATTTCGACTACAGCAACTAAACACTATCGCACACACATAAATATAGGTAGACTTGTTTTCTTCGTCGTCCGATTATTCAACATTGGCAGGAAAGAGAGGATCTTCCAAATTACGTCTCATTAATTTCATGGATTTATTTGCTAATATGCTACTTCCTACTTGCCAAACTACTGAAATGTAACTAAACCTCAACTTTGAACGCACTGCATAAGCAGTATGTCCTGAACCAGGAGTTATTTGGTGGATAGAAGACAAACTCTAGAGGTTGTTTAATTTCTAAAGCAATTTTTGGCTTATATAAATAGTCCCCACGCCCAGTCTCCCACAAAACCCTTCCTCTAAGCAAATAAGGCTTTTCCATGCTAGTGCCAATCTTTGAAAGTGTTATAAAGCTCAAAAAAGACAGCCTGTGTCATACAGACATTACCTCCTTCATCCATGACAAAGCTGGAGGACACTCCATCCGTGTCACTTACAGACACAGAGTAA